TATTACTGTTTTTCTTAGACATTTTATTGTTGGATGTAACTGGGACCTTGTGTACATAATTTCGCTCCACCACATGTACCACATGAGGTGCGAATGACAATAAAGAAACTCTGACTCTGACTCTGACTCTGATAGTGAGGGAGCGAGCAGCGTCTCTTTAAGAAAAATGGGAAGGAGGCCCCTATGGGAAGGAGGCCCCTTGACGTGACATGGGCTGTCTCGCTTTCCTTTTTTCAGTTCTCAGAATGGCGGACACGGTGTGGTTTGAGCTCTTTAGCATAGCAATTTTCATACAAAGCTTTTAATAAATAAAAAAAATCAGTAAATAAGTTCTCAGCTTCTTTTTCCAGAGAAACTTTTTACACAAAGGCACGAGTTTCAACCTTGAATTCTGGAGCTTCGACAAGACGGAGGTTTTTTTCCAGATTTTGGCCTGTTAGCTTAGCTCGTAGCTTAGCTTCTCAGCTTAGCTGAGAAGAGAAAAGAAAACAAGAGAAGAAACGATAAAGCCAATAAATGTAAATGAGGTCGATAATTTTCATTTATCATGCGATTAATTGATTTATTGTTTATTGCGACAGGCCTAATGTTGAAAAAATGTCAGTTCTTATTTAATTTGTTTATGTATGTTTGACTGATCTGGGGTGGGAGGGGTCTCTTTTTAGTTCCTTGTTCTGTTTTTTTGTTTTTCATTTTGTTGTTTATTTAAAAAAAAATCAATAAAAAGACTTTGTTTAAAAAAATAAAGAATATTGGGGACCAAATGGAAATTGTTCAAGAGCCACTTTTGGCTCTCGGGCCTTAATCTGCACACATCTGACTTAACTGAGTAAATGTAAAATGTAGTCAGAAGATGAAATAATATTATCTTTTTAAAGTATGTTTGTTAGATCGTAGTTGACCGACACGTAATAACACAAATGTCTGGGATTTTACTGCATGAACATAAATCACAAATTCACATTTTCTTTGTATGTTTAGTGGTGAAACTTTGGGACCTAAATAAGCCGCGTGGTTTTTGAGCTCCAGAGGAAACTCGCTCTCGAAGGCCTCTCTGGGTGGGATGATTTGCCCGTTGCTCCCGGTCTTCAACACTCCGCCGTCCCAGTCGTAAGCGCCCACAATCCCAAACAGAATGCCGTCCTAAAGGAGGGGAGGAAACAATAAAATCAGGTTTAAATTTTAGCTGCAGCACAAGTTGAAAACCTTCTCGGGTTGGACTTACATCCAGAGTGTGGGTGGAGAAGCCGACTTGAGACATCTCCATGTGGAACGTGCTCTGGTTGCCCAGCGTACCTAAAGGTGAGCAACACGTCAGCTCCCTTCTGCTTCTCCTCCCTTCCTTTTCCCTTTTCGTGCCTCTGAGGAGCTGACCCGAGCTTTACGCCAGCAGAACGCAGCTGGTGACAAACGTTTCCTCCTGTCCCTTTCTCTGAACGTTTAAGGGCGACGTCACCTTTCATCACCCTTTCTCTGAAGTTTCTTCAGCTACTGTGATAACTGCCTTTTTTCTGTTTTTCTAACCATTCTGATAGTTTATTTTGGACTTGCTTCAAATTATATAAAAAAAATCATATGAAAAACCAGCTTTACACATTTATTTCTGTATTTTTTTGTTGTAGATAAATCATGTCAGCTTTTGCATATTGCTCAAATGATGTGAATTTTACCAAGAAGTCTGCTTTTGTAAACTTGTGATCAATAACCAGTACAAGTAACATATCAATATTATTGGCTATTAATGTTCAAAACCACAGACAGTCTGATTTGAGTGCAGCTCCTGATTCATTTCTACGAATCACCTTCCAGAGTGAAGATCCGATCTCCGAGAGCATCCACGATGTCGTTCAGCGCGGGTTCGTCCGTCACGTTGAAAAAATACTTCTCGTCTGGATCGCTGGCGATGTACTTGATCTCGCTGATGAAAGTCTCTGGGTCCTGCTGTTTCCGGATGTAATATCCCAGAACCTAAAGCCCGGGAAGGGAAAGGCAGAAAAGAAAACATGAAGTTTGACAAAAAATAAAACAAGGAAAAATAATTAGAAGATGAAAGGAAAATAAAGAAAGAAACATCTTAGAAGGAAGTTTGAAGATGTTTACTTTAGTATTTTGTCAGGATTTAAATGCTTAAATAAATCAAGTGTACTGAGTAAAAAAACAGAATATTGTAGTAAATAACCACCATGGGAAATGTGTAAATAAGGAGCAGCAGACGACGGCTCGATGCTAAAAGTCCGCTACAGAAACAGCGGCTCGCGGCTGAAATAGAAATGAACAAATTCCATCAGAGAAACCAAACCCAAGAATCTCCCCCGTGACTCCGGCTGACAAACTTGCAAAGGAAATCCTCTGTTTTTAAAGCGCAAGGGAAGCACTGGGGTGTAGCGTGCTATGAAAAAAGGGCCGACTCATAAATATGTACATTTGGTTCTTATAGAAACAGAAAAATGTCAAAGGAAACCGACCAAAGAGGAAAGGAGGAGGATAGATGGACACATTCTCCAGTTCTCATCATAAAGTATGTTGATGTGTTCATCTGGCTGCCTGTTAGCAAAATATATCATGAACCATTGCGTGCATGGTATGGGTCATTCCCAACACATATTTTTTTAGTCTAGAACTCTGGTATGAAAGGCAGAGGGTGATATGCATTTCTTCAAGTATTTTATAAAGGTTTCTACACAATGCGCTGCTTCAACACCAAACACGTTTTAACGCCTGTCCTGCACCGATCAGCTGTGACTGAACTCTTGTTTTGAGAGACCGGACCTCCACCGGGGCATATTTTCTCTGTGCACACACACAGCCTAACACGCTGGCAGCAGCACAATATGTCTGCTGTTAGACGATGCTGTTCACTATAATAACTTTTGACTTTATTAACCATGAAAATCCACCTGGTTTCCTATGATTTTTATTCCCAAACTGTGATAGGACCCTATTATGCTGTTCAGTCCTTTATTGCTGCCTTCTTACTAGAATTAACTCTAAATTGTCCATAGGTGTGAGTGACAGTGTGAATGGTTGTTTGTTGTTCCCCATCATAAAGCGAAAACAGGAACTAAAAATACCATTGGCCACCATTGCCCCCCCTGGCTCTATCATTGCATCTGGTAATGGATAAAATTGTTCAGTCCGCTCGTCATGATCTGTCACTCTGCGCCAGCTTGGACAAGAAATACAAACCTACCTCTGTTCTTATACAGTGCAACTCTGACCCACTTGAATATCTTGCACCAAAAACATTAAGGTTTACTTGCATTCTCTGTTCAGTTCCAGTCCAGAAAAACATTCATCATCACTATTCAAATCCTTCAGCAATGGTGGACATTGGTGGACAACTTGTCCTGATTGTCTCTGTCCCTGTGATGGATTTGTGACCTGTCCACAGTGTACCTCACCTCTCGCATAACGACTGTTGGATATGGGCACCAGTGACCCCAGTGACCCTGAATGGATGAAGTGGGTAAAAGATGATGGGTGGATGAAATAATTTAACAGTGCCATCAAAAACAGTGTTGCTGGTTTGTAATGACACTAAATTCTCCACTCAGACCCGTCAATTTTTAACCTTCAGTAATAATTAAACCTTTGGGTACTGATGGTAGCATGGCCTATTGCACAACTAACATAATAAAGAGGCGTGAGATTTGGTTCAGATGGGCTCCAAACGATGAAGGACCATGAGTTTTGCAGTTTGAGGTAAAATATCAAAACGTCTTCTTCATGCTTTGCCTCAAAATTTACTACGGAGTCAGGATTGTATGTGAACTTCCTCTAACCTTGGTGAGGTTAAAAGTGCTACAATGTGTTTCTCATTCAGTGTTCACCCATCAATGGGACCAAACGTTTTACCAACTATAGATGCTCAAACCAGGACACGTGATTTTGGTTTTCATTTTTCCGCTCAACTTTTTTGTTCTGCTCACGTTGTCATGGTTTGTTCTGGCTGTCAGGTCTTGTCCTCTTTTGTGTGTGTTTCTGTAGACATGGTCACTTACCTACTAAACATGCCCGATTCTCATCAAACTTATCAAAAATAGTTAAATATACCTCGTTTATTAGGCATATTCAGACAGTTCCACAAAATGACTGCACAGAACTCTGCTGGGCTGAAGTGGAGTGTGATGCATTAAATGCGTGTCGAACGTCTCCCTTGTGTCCATCCATCCATCCATTATCTTCCGCTTCCTCCAAAGTCAGCGGCTTGAGCAGGGAGGCCCAGACATTTCTTTCCACAGCCACCTCTTCCAGCTCTTCTGGGCGGACCCCAAGGCATTCAGCTCAGTTCCCTCTTCACCACAACAGACCGGTACAGAGTCCACAATACTGCAGACGCTGCACCAATCCATCTGCCAATCTCACGCTCCATTCTTCCCTCACTCGTGAACAAAACCTCGAGATACTTGAACTCCTCCACTGGCTCCCTCGTGTCATTTACTAATAATAATGAAATAACTCACTTTTGTGATCCTCTGTGGGTAACTATTTTTAAAACAAACTACAATGTTATGTGTCATCATCATCAATATTCCCTCGGTAATAAATCTGTTTGTTGTTTAATCCCACGAACGGGCGGTTGCACCTAATGTCATCAGTTCATCACATTACTGAGCCGCAGCTCCTCTGTTTGTTCTTTCTTCACACATTGGCCAGCCCAGTCCTGCTCCTACCTCAGTGGGAGGCACAGGTGTAAATCAGAGGTAGATTGTCTCCAGCCTCCCTCACCGCCTCAGTGTGTCTTCTGAATGGACCGAGGCGGCAAGAAAAATGTCTCAGTCCCAGACTGGGACGTCTTGTGAATACGTCTGTTGATGCAATTTGGCAATTAGGTGTCATTTAGACAAAAAATAAACTTAATGATTGGTTGTTTTTTTTCCATGTACATTCTGTCTGGTCACTTGTGCTCAGCATCTGCACCTGGGCTGGGAATCTCTGGTCTGCGGCCAATACAATACCAACGCACACTTCCAATGAGCCGATATATCACGTGTGTCGAACTCGAGGCCCGTGGGCCAAATATGGCCCTTGTTAACATCTTATCTGACCCAAAGGAGATATTTTAAAAGTAAAACATTTTTATTGCTCCTCATGTCACTTAACTAAACATGCTTCATTTAGTGCAGACTTCTCCTGACAGTTGACCAACTATGAAGCCAAGAAAAATGTAATTTTTCAGTAATCTTTGATTTTGAAGGAGAAAAAGCATCAGAGAACATCAGACGAGACCAACGAAATTTTTGAGGAACCTGCAACCAATTAAAGATATCAGGTATCTGACTGGAGGTAGTAATGTATTGACTGAAACGGGCCTTTGGTTTGAAAATAATTTTTAATTTTGGCGACTTTTTGTAAGTGAGTTTGACAATCCTGTACAGAAGCAGCTAAAAATGTTGTTTATTCATTCATAAATTACAATACAGATTAATTAATCTAATCTTATATCTGTTTTTCCCCTCTGCTTTTGGGTCCAGAAGACATTTTCCTTGTGCTACACCCTTGATGAAGTCTAAAGCTTGACAAGGAGGGGTCCTGCCACAAGTGTCTGATGTTAAAACCACTCAGGATGTGTTTCTGGGTGCTGTGTCGAGGGGTCGGGTGGAGGCAGACAGGAACTTTTTTGTTGCTGTTCACAGTCAGTTATTTTAGTGGAGTCCTGGGATTCAGTTTGGTAAAGTTATTTTAGTGTGGTGGTGGTATTGTGTGGTTGCCTTTGGGTGTAGACATTAACCACACTGGATTTGCACAATGTGTGAAGAATGTCAGGGACGCTCTAACCCCTTAGGTGTTTGTGTGATTTCTACATTTTGTTTTACACGTCAGGGGAAGGAAAACTTCTAAGTGTCACCGGTTTAGGTGCAGGTAAACTCACAGCGATGGCGTATCTGGTGATGTTTCTGCTGTCGCACTCATCCAGAGCGGCCGGCAGCTCGTCCACGTCGTGCGACTCCCCGTCTGTCACCACGATCATCACCTTGGTGGCGCCCTCCCTCGCTCCACGCTCAGCGCTAAATGCCTCGGTGCTACAAAGGAGAGAGAGCAGAACCAATAAAAAAATGGAGGATATGTTAATCTGTCACGCTGATTCTGCAGAAACCAGTTGGATTTGAAGCAGAGAGCAAGACGAGAGCAACGAGAGCAATGAGAGCAATGAGAGCAATGAGAGCAACGAGAGCAACGAGAGCCGATTTTTGGCTGTGAAACATGCGAGAGGAATGAAACAGAGAAGAATCCAGATGCTTGGGTTTGTAAAATATCTAACGATCTCTGGGGGATAACATCCAACATCAAGTGCTTCTCTGGGAAAAGAGAAAAGTTGGTAAAACATTTAAGCTCAGGATCAAATGACCCACGTTTCATCTGGACTGTTTCACGTCTTTATTAACCAAACTTTGCCAGTTTACTCAGACGGGTCGTCGCATGCAAGTATGCATGTGTCACTGCACACGGCGACCACATCTGTGCTTCCCCCTCTAGTTTTGCTGCCATCCAGAGAAGAAACCTAAATGATACATGCACAAATGGACCCACGCCACACCCTGTTTGTCTGCAGGAAACCTGTTCGCCCTGCGTCCTGCTTCAAGTGTTGAATAGAGTTGGTAAGCCTCAGACCAAGACGCGCGCACACACGCACGCACGCACACACACACACACACTGTGAGGAAGGGAGAGTAGTCACTCCTAGTGATCTCAGTCATTTTCGAGCCTGACTGCAGCCCTGGCCTAAATATAACGTTGTGGTCAGCCACAAGAAACTCAGTTAAAAACAACCGTTTCTCTTTATGCAGCTTGCAAATAGCAGAGAGCGCAGAGGCAGAGAAGACAAACAGAATGGAGGGGTGAACGTAAAATCTCTAGAAGGAACTAACGCAAACAGAAAACATTGATAAAGGTGAGAAAAAATAAATCAAGCCCATGAACTACAACACACTTTTGTGACAGCCTGTGCTTTCTTCAATATGCTCATAAATTTAGACAATTGAAACATAAAACAGGTGGAGAGCACGCCAAGAAATACAGAGAGGAGAGGCCCAAACAAACGAGAAAGAGGAAAATTAAACAAAATGAAAGTGCAGAGAAAGTAAGTGGAGCTAATTGGGAGGCTCGGTTCTTTTTACGGGGCATTTTATGGAGTCGCAGCAGTGTGGTAATAACACGGCGCAGCAGTCTGTGTGGGTGGGTGAGGAGGACCCTTGAGTCGGGTGGAGCGATCAAGACATCAGAGGCTAACTCAATTGTTGGGGTTTGTTTGGTGCTAATAAAGCCGTCAGCTAACCAGCATTCGGGTTTTACTCCACATTTCCATGACGGCATTGTTCAAAGGAAACAAAGGCAGAGGAATACGTGTCCAACGGGATAAAAAGTCTGAACGTGGCACTCAGAAAAATAGAAACACAGTGCTTTTTATGGATATTTGTGTAAAACAAACAATGTTTTACAATATTTGTTGGTGAATATTGCAAAAATGTGCAAAATATTACAATAATTTGGTCAGACTGAGTAAATCTAATCAAGAAATGTTTGGGCAGTGTGGTCGAGCATAAACCCTTCATTTTCTCATGTAGCTCTGCAAAAGCAGCAACTTGACACACCAACGGATCCTGTTAAAATCATTTTATACACAACTAGGACTAAAATCATGTATGCACAGCCATTAGTAGTATGTAATATAAAAAACATCTAATTATCGTTTAATTTTTTTGTTATTTACAATTTATATGCCAGTAGAAGTAGTGGTAAGTCTGTTTAATTAAAGCTATTTATTTATATTTATATGCCATTACATTGATACACCCATATTGTTACCTTTATTTTTACACTTTAAGCTTGAAGCAATGCATTTTAATCAAATATACATTCATTCTTGTTTTGCACGTTTGTTGCTGACTCAGCTGCGTTTCCATATTTTTTAAGTTAAAGATGTGGCACTGAGATCAAGCTGACATGACCTTTTAGCTCAGTTTATACAAAATATCAGCCTAAATTACAACTTAAACAGATTTTCCTCACCTCCCTTTTGATTCTGAGGTAACTACGGATACCTGCTGGGTCAATTTGCCTGACCTGAACTCTTCGGGACAACTCCCTCTGTCACTGAAGGCTCCTAAATATTTTAGACGGTAACTTTGAGGTGATGGTTCAGATCTTACAGGGTAATACGGGAACAGAAAACAACCTAATATTTGTTCTAAGGTGAATCATTTGAAAGTAAGTCCACAGGACCAGACTTAACTTTTTTAGATTTTTCATCAAGACATTTGTAAGTAACTTTTGTTTAAGAGGCACTGGACTATGGGCATGCACAGCTTTAGACACTTTGTTTTAAATGAGGTGAACCACATATCTGGTCATTTAAGAGTTTAGGTTCAGATCAGGTCCCTGAGAGGAAATCAAACCACTCTCACATGAATGATGATGATCCAAACAGCTGCATTTAGATGATTAAATTACTTTATGCTCATGTGGTGTTTATCTAAAGCAACCCCCCCCCCCCCACACACACACACACACACACACACATATTTGGGTTAGTTTATCACATTAAAAAAACATTATTTTTGCTAACTTAGATCATTTAGTCCTCCTTTCTAGGATCTTACAAGTCTCTAAATAGTTAATTTAGATACAAAGCTCCTCGTGTTTCAGTCAAACGTTGAAAATAACACACACACACACTAGAGCTCACACTTGGGGTAAGTGATGTGAATGATGTTCAGCTACTGCCACACCAACATTTAGCTAAACAACTGGACAGCGTACTCAATTTTAGCCACTTTTGTGTTTGCGTAGGTTGAACAGTCGGGTTTGCCATTCAGAATTAAGTTGAGGTCAAAAGTTAAGATTTTTAAGAGTTTCATTATTTTGCTAACAGAACAAGCACATCGACACAGGGAAAACCAATGACGCCCACTTTCTGCTTTTCAGCGATGGAGGTACTAAAGCTTCAGTTCAGTGTGCGTTGAAGGGTTTGTTGATGCAAAGCTCAGTTCAGCTCAGTTTAGATGAAGACTATGACAAATCCATCCATCCATCCATCCATTATCTTTACCTGCTTCTTCCTTTTTGGGTCATGGAGGTCACTGGTGCCCATATCCAGCAGTCACTCTGCGAGAGGCAGGGGACACCCTGGACAGGTCTCCAGTCCATCACAGGGACACATAGAGACAAACGAAACAACCATTCACTCTCTCACTCACACCTAGAGACAGTTACCAGTCAGACTAACATGCAAGTTTCGGGTCTGTGGGAGGAAACTGGAGCACCTGGAGAAAACCCACGCATGCACGGAGAGAACATGTAAATGTCATGTTTATTTTTAATAAATTACTTGGTTTAAGAGGTGGTAAAGATGGGTTAATTTTAAAATGAAATCTTATGTAAAACTTCCCTAACTGAAGCAGGTGTTCTTCCATTTTACCATGACTTCACCCCCCGTCGTCACAATCAAATGTGAACATATAAACGAGTCTCCACAGTGCGAGAAACAACAGTTTTTATGTCCATTCTTCGCTGCTTGAGCTCATTGGTTCATAATAACACCAAGGTCAGGTCAAAGGTCAGGGTTGAAAAGGTTAAGGTTCAGGTCAGGACATTTAAATGGAAGCACATGTGAACTGAAGGAGTCAAGTGTGAGTCCTTGATGCATGTGCGCCCGTCCTGTTTGTGTGTGTGTCATGTGTGTCTCTGTGTGTATTTTTGCAGCTGCAGCTACTTGGCTGACCGGGCCATGCCACACCCGCAGCTGTGCTGAGGCAGCATTCAGTTAGCGCAGCTCAGCTCAGCTTAGTGTTTTTCTACCCCGTTAATTTCCTGCTCGGTGCCAACGGTGATATCTGAGCATCTGTGTGTGTGTGTGTGTGTGTGTGTGTGTGTGATTGGGCGTGAACGTGTTTGTATAAGCTCAGTCATACTGTGAGTTATCTTTTCATAAGGCCATCGTTTGGCAGAGATTCTTTAATCTTGGTGCTCATAGGACATTTAAAAAAAAAAGAGAAAAACTTTCATAACTTGAAAGATAGATGTGTTCTGTTGCATCATGGCGCTCTTTAATCTTCTGCTCGTCTCTTCACGGTCCGGCGCAGGAAGTGACAGGAGGTTAAAAAGCGGAGGTTTTGAAAGCCAGAGTTGCATCATTTCACCTGATTTAATTTCTAATCGCTGCCTTTCAATGACCTTTCAAATGTTTCTCCTAAAGCTGTCCAGTTTTCACCTTTAAATGGACCAGAAACAGCAACTCTCTAATTACCTGTGTGCCAGTGCTGGCCTGCTGTATATGTGGTTGTGTGTCTGTGTGTGTTTCATCTAAAAAAGGCAACCAATGGCCACACATAACGACTGGGTGTGGCGGGCTTTCTGGGTATGATTTTAAAGAACCAGAATTATTAAAAAAAAAATAATAATTTTCAGGTTATTCACTTGTCTCTGAAGGATGAAAAACCAAAGGCCTTGAAGCACTTCCTACTTAAATGATTTATTTATTTCATTTTGTCACAAGTGCCAGTTCTGATCTCCTCCCACTTTGGAAAAAAAAAAAAAAAAGTACAAAAAAAAAGAAGTATTAAAACGTGCA